GTGTGTGTGTATATATATATATATATATATGGAATGCTTCATCAATTTGTGTGTCATCCTTGCCCAGGGACATGCTAATCTCCTCTGTATCGTTCCAATGTTTAGTATATGTGCTGCCGATTCGTGCCCTTTTAAGAGGAGATAAGAGAGAGCTCCCTCTCTCTCCCCCAGGTGAGGTCACAACAGGAAGACAGTCATCTCTACAGCAGAAAAGGGTGCTCATCAGACAGCAACCATGCTGGCCCCTGACCTCAGACTACCAGGTTCAGGATTGTGAGACATAAAGGCTGCTGGCTAAGCGACAAGCCTGGGCACCTGTTGTGGTGGCCGGACTGGACTGAGGCACCCGAGGAGGGCACCCAGGCGATGGGCAGCTGGTTGGGAGGCTGCAGCAATCGTCAAGGCCAATGATGGTTATTGTCATGGGAATGAGGCTGCTCAGCACCTGGCGATTATTTGTGAAGGGCGTGTATCCTTCCTCCATGGTTCCCCGGGCTGCCGGTCTCTGTCCTCCCCCCTCCTACCCCAGCAGCCCATCCCAGCTGCCCCTTTAAACACCTCATGTGGTTTTACTTTAGGCAAAGGTCTCGATGCATGGGGGCGTTCCCCTCAGCCCAGCCTGCACCCTCTCCAATCCGGGACCCCTCAGGGGATGTCCGACTGCCGGTTTAGTCCTGGTCTCCCGGATGGGGCCTAAACCGGCAGTCAGACATCCCCACTGGGGATGGGGCCGGAAACCCAGGTATGTGCCTTGACCGGGAATGGAACCATGACCTCCTGCTTCATAGGTCGACATTCAACCACTGAGCCACACCAGCCAGGCAGGTACATGCCCTATTATAAACAAAACATTTTAACAGCTAGTCTAGTAAATATAACCAATCAGGAAGTAGAACTGGATTCTGAAAACACAGGTGAACTACCTACCCACTGCCATTAAACCAGGATAAAAACCTGGTACTAAAACCTCAGGCCTCATCTTACAGAGTCAGCGGTGCTCATGCCCCTGCTAAGAGAGGATGAGTCAGCACGTCATCCAGCCAGAGGCCGGCCTGAAGGACACGTGCTTACGACAGCAGCCCCAAGGGGGTCTCTGGTGCCGCAGTCACCTCACGCCCCGGGGCCGTGCGGGCCCTTGCTGTGGACTGCCTCCTTTGGCCCTTACAGCATCCCTGTGACGGAGTTATCCTTTAGTCAACCTTACTGACGACCTGGAGGCCCCATCCCCAGACACAGTCACATTGGGGGTTAGGGCTTCAACATAGGAATGGGGGAGGGGACACCAATCAGCGCATAGCAGCCTCGCGGCCTGCAGGTGGCAGAGCTGGGATTAGAACCATGGAGATCAGACCCTTAGCCAAGTGCTGAAACGCCCCCATCCCCCTCCTCTCCTCTCCAGGGCTCCCACTGACTCGGCTCGCACCCCAGCACGGGGTCTGATTGCTTCCTTCCCTTTCTCCTACGTCCTGGTTGTCATAAGCCTGAGAGTACAAAACAGCTCTGCTTCAGGACGCGTGAAAAATTGCTCTGAGAACTCAACTTGGGCCGTCACAGGCTTGGGAGCACCCATCACTCATCCTTTAGAGACAAAGTTGTCACGAGACAAGCCATGCCCGGCCTTCGCCTGCGCCCGCTGCAGAGCAAGTCAGCGAAACTGACGAAGCAGAAGGGCTGTGTCAGGCCTTCCACGGCTGCCATGAATCACCGCCTCGCAGCCAGCGAGATGCAGAGCTGGCATCCCATTCTTCCAGAGCCGACAGGCAATTCCTCACTGCGCTTCCCTCCCGCCCAGGAAGGGGTGGAAGGGGGAGGGAGGCAGCCAGCACAAGCCCAGCTCAGGGACTGGCAGGGACCCTGTCAGACTCCCAGAAGCAGAGGGCCAAGGCTCAGCCCTTGTTCTTGAAGGCTCCTGGCCCGAGGCCCTCGTGAGCTGGACAGAAGGCACACCAGGCCCGGGTTAGAGGGAGCCGGGGAGCCAGGGGAGAGGGGGTGTCACCTGCACAGGCACCGAGGCAGGGAGGCATTTCTTGGAAGCAAATTTAAAGCAGAGATAGTAACTGGATGGGATGGAAAGAAGGTTCCAGAACCTGGGTCCCGGCTGGCCTGTGGGCTGGACTCAGAATTTGGAATTCAGGGTGTCCACACAGGGCAGCCATCCGAGTCCTTCTCACCAGCTTTGAAAAGTTCAAGTCCCCAGAAGACAGGGTTTTACACTCTCATCGCATTCATGTGTCCTCAGATAGACAAAACCTCTAGGTCCATTCTCACCTCGGAGGCATCAGGTAAGAAAACGGAATTAACACTTAAATTGAGTGCACGCTTACAGACTTCAGCGGGAATGCAGTTTACAAACTGTTCATTGGGAAACGTGCTCTGCAAGACACTGGAACCAGAAAGGCCCATTCCTTCCTCTTTACAGACAAGATGTCGGCGGGCAGAGCTGCGTGGGCATCCGGCTCCACCAGCGGTTTTAGGGTGCAGGGCACTCACCACAGGCTGACCAGGAAGGGGGTTTGGGGGTGTGGTGCACTCAACACAGGCTGACCAGGAAGGGGTTTTGGGGTATGGGGAACTCACCACAGGCTGACCAGGAGGGGGTTTTGGGGTGCGGGGCACTCACCACAGGTTGACCAGGAAGGGTTTGGGGGTGCGGGGCACTCACCACAGGTTGACCAGGAAGGGTTTGGGGGTGCGGGGCACTCACCACAGGTTGACCAGGAAGGGTTTGGGGGTGCGGGGCACTCACCACAGGTTGACCAGGAAGGGTTTGGGGGTGCGGGGCACTCACCACAGGTTGACCAGGAAGGGTTTGGGGGTGCGGGGCACTCACCACAGGTTGACCAGGAAGGGGTGCTCCAGGCCCTGCATGATCTGCAGCTCCCGGAACACGTTGCGCACCTCGTCCCGCTCCACGCACTTCTGCTTGTTCATGTACTTCATGGCGTACATCCGCTTCGTGTCCCGCTTCTGCACGATGCACACCTGGCGACAGCCAGAGGACAGTCAGGCCCGGGAACGCCAGCAGCCCTCCCGCAGGTCTGCCCCGGGGCTCCGGGTTCGAGTCTGTCCTGCTGGCGGAGCGGCAGCTGCAAAGTGGAGGGGCTGTGCTGGATTCACCCGCTAATCGGTTCAGCTCAGGCTC